CACGCTAATGGATCACTGAACGTACAACTTAACCAGAGAACATGATTTCTCTCTTCCTCTTCTTATCTCCTCTCATCTCTCCTCTGTTATGAGGTCACAGAGGAAGCTGTATACTACATGTATCTGTATTTCTATACTCCCAAACATTTGAACAAGTTGCTAAACAATTTCTCTCTTAGGTTTTCCTCTTTTCGTTTTTAGTATCCTTTACTCAATACGGCCTTATCAGATTAATTTAGTTCACCATTCAAACTTACACACACACACACACAGGGTCACACCCAGGCCAGCAGCTGTCTGTCTTTCCTGACGCAACACGTCCACCAGTGTGTGTGTGTGTGTGTGTGTGTGTGTCTGTGTGTGTCTGTGTTTGTATCTTCTCACGGTCATTTCAAGGGTCTGTTTGGTTTGCGTTCGCTCTAGTGCCTTCCGGGAGGGGCTGGTGCCGCTAACCCTTAAACCTGGCAGAGCCCAAGTCCTCCCAGATGGTTGACTTTGTCAATACTCATCAGGGTTGGTCTGACCTCGGAGGACTCGCCGTGTTGTCCTACAGACCAGCCCCACCTGGCCCGCCTCCACGCTGTGGAAAACAGTGTGGAGGGGTGTATTCAGGGGTAACGCTGGTATAGACACGTACGCTGGCACAGATGTGTGATACGCACAGAAGGATTGGATACACATGTACACACACTTACAGAAACACACACACACAGAGAAGTGCGCACACCCATGCACGTGCACACACACACACACACACACACACACACACACACACGCTCTCTTTGGAATTGAGAGTTTTCAATTATCTGAAAGACCAGATATTATCTCTCTGTCTCTCGCTCTGTCTCTCTGTCTCTGTCTGTCTGTCTGTCTCTCTGTCTCTCTCTCTCTCTCACTCTCACTCTGTCCATTCCTCTCTCTTCATAACTCATCCATCTCTACATTCTGTCTCCATTTTTTTTTTCTCTCTCCCACTCTCTCTTATCAAATTCTCTTCTCTCACTCAACCATCCTCTCTCTCCATCCCTCTCCCCTCCTTTTCCTCCTCCTCATCTCGTCATGTTGGGGTATCCGTAGCAACTGGCCGTTCAGACAAGTGTTGTGATTGGTTATGTTTACCGCTCGTGTGTCATGTGGTCTTCCAGGTGTTGTGTTGATTCTTCACTAAACTCTGTCTTATTACTCTCTTTAAACTCCCCGTGTCTCTGCCAAAGTAAAGACCATGTGATTTAAAGCCACGCTGAATTAACCGACAAACACGTGGAATATGACAAAACTCAAAATTACCTTGGAATCATTCATATATATCATTTGGTTGTGTTTACATTTACGTAGCCCATGTTAGAAATATTCATCACATAACTCAGGTGCCGGTGCAAATATTACCATAAAACGTTGTTAAGTAAACACGGTTATTGGGTAGCCGTTAAGCAACGAGTGAATCCGATCATTTGTCTTCGGATCAAAGCGACCGACCTCCGACCTCTTCTTGTAGTTCTTAGCTTCTCAGCTAATTTTGTATTTTAGCAAATTCCTCAATACAACATTTTTTCTTACTCTGTAATTTAGGTGCAATGCATACATACACACATTTCCTTCTTTGCCTCATCCTCGTATTCCCACAATTCCCAGATTTCTGATTTAACCTCTTAACGTAACCTCTTAAATCAGCTCTCATCCCCGAGTTCCATCTCCATCTCCCTGTTTTCCTTTCCCCTTCCCTTCCTTCCTCCCTTCCTCCCTTCCCCTCCCTTCCCCTCCCTTCCCCTCCCTTCCCGTCCCTCCATTCTGGGAGTGTTGACAGGTCAAAAAGATGGCTGGAGGGATGAAATGAGAGTGTGAGAGAGAGAGAGAGAGAGAGAGGAAAGAGAGAGAGAGAGAGGAGAGAGAGAGAGAGAGTGAGAGACACAGAGAGAGAGAGAGAGAGAGAGAGAGAGAGAGAGAGAGAGAGACACACACAGAGAGAGAGAGACACAGAGAGAGAGAGAGAGAGAGAGAGAGAGAGAGAGAATACAGGAAATTAAAGATTGAGGGAGGTAGAGAAACACACACACACACACACACACACACACACATGGTGGTGAGAGACAGCTATGTCCGTCTGTTGTCATGTTGTTCTGAGAGGGATACTGAAGACATGCAACAGGAATGTATGTTCTACACACACATTCACACAAATACACACACACACACACACACACACACACACGTATACGCACACTCACACACATACGCACGTACTCAGCACAGTACACACAACCTTATGCAAACACACACACACACACACACACACACAGGCAGGTGAGTTATGTCAGCCAGCCTCTCCATCACTCTTCATCTTCTTCCTCTTCTCCTCCTCCTCCGCCTCCTCCTCCTCCTCCTCTCTCTGATGGACAGGCAGACACAAAGGTCACTTAGAGGTCACACAGATAGAAGACTAATGTGTCTGGCAGGTCAAATTACCAGCTTTTACATTGCATTACACACACACAAACATCTGGTTTTGTGGCCCGGTATGAACTTCCTGGGTGCAGACCGTCCCTCTGTCTAGGTGGCCCCACCCACCTGGGTGTCA